ACACCGCCTTGGTCGACGCTCTTCCCATCAATGATGCTTCCAGTAACATCAGACTCGGTGGCCGCCACAGATTCTCCGGCAATGCTAGGTGCTCCCTTCATTCGGTTACCATTGGCCCGACGGGCTCCGGGAAGAGCGGGCCACGAGTCCGCGAAGTTTTGAAACATGGGAGGATACCCAGAAGGAATGCCAACCCCACCCAGGGCAGAGGAGTGGACGGAAGAGACATCATCGGGGATGTAACCAACCACCGAGCCGGTGTCATGGAAGTCATTGCGGTGACCGTTTCTTCCATTCATCAACCCGCTCGTAACGTTAGAGGCATGGTTGTACGCCATCTGGAAGCGTTGAGGACCCCGGTATGCCTGCTTGGGTCGGCTGAACTGGATCAAAGACTCTTGCAGGTTAGACAAGGGTCCCTCAACCAGACAGTGCCTTTCCTTGAAATGCTGCAGGAGACAGTTCCACAGAGGATGCTTCGACAAGACCTTAGGGTTTCCAAGAATGGCCAAGCCATACTTGGCACGAGTGAGAGCGACGTTGAGACGGCGAGGGTCACTCAGGAAACCAATGCCCTGGTGGTCGTTGGAACGAACACAAGAGAGGATAATGAAGTCCTTCTCACGACCCTGGAAGGCATCGACTGAGGCTACTTCAATCTCCTTGTAGTGTTCCTTCTTGAAGGTGCCATTAGCTTGCATGGAGCTAACAATGTAGCTGCGCTGACCCTCATAAGGAGTGATGATACCAATATCCTGGGGCTGAACTCCAGCTTTGAAGAAGCGGGTGACAATTTTCTCCACGTTCGTCGCTTCAGTGCGGTTAAGGTAAGAGGTTCCGGAGGCCGAAATCTCCTCATTACCCAGATTCGACCAGAACATCATAGGGTTATCAGCAATGGGCCAGGGAAAGTCGACATCACGGCGGAGACGCTCAAACGAAGATATACCGTTCTGTAGAGAACCTTCATAAAACATGTTCGACGGGAACTCCGACAGGCATGGGTGCATACGGTACTGAACGTTCAGACGGATAGGGGAGCAGCCAAGAATGACGAGACGTTCAAAGAGTGACTGGTTCAGACCTGCCTTAGCTGCCTTCTTGTTCATGATAACAGGTCCCAGCTGTTGGTGATCACCGACAAGGACGACTTGCTTGCATCCAAGGACCAAGGGAATCATACACTCTGGCTCAGCCGATTGGGTCGATTCGTCAATCAAGACGGTACGGAACTTGAGCTTCGCCAAACGAGGATCACCAGCACCAACGCAAGTACAGCAGATAACGTCAGCGTTATTCAGGATCTCGCGCTCCGCTGAGCGAGTTAGTTGTTTCAGTCGCTTCTCATCTTGACTGGACAATTCTCCAAGCTCGGCCTTGAGCTGATTGAGCTTGATGAGTTCGATGTTGGTATCGTTGATGCGGACTTGCTCATGCAAAGACAAGAAGCCAACCGGCGATTCAACATCCTCTCGTGATTTAGCTGTCACACGTACAGTCTTCAGACCTGTTCGGTGGATACGCTCGCAAAGTTGATCGACCGCAACGTTCGAGGGGGCGCACACCAATACCTGCCCACCGTTGATCTTCGCAAGGTGGTAGATGATCGTAGCAGAGGTGACAGTCTTTCCCGTTCCCGGAGGTCCCTGAATCAAACTCAAAGGTCTCTGCAGCACGCTCTTCACAGCGTTGATCTGACTACCGTTTAGTTCAGGAAGTCCCGGAACGCTGAACTTCTTCGGCATTTGGGTCTTCATCGGCGCGGCGGCGACTTCGTGTCCGAGAAGGCGATGGAAAATGTAACCGGAGACACTCATCTCATCCACGGCAAAAGTCTTCATGGCCAGCTGCATACGATCGAAGGATGTAGACTTCCAGACGTAGTCGGCCGTGAAATTGTGTGTGCACTCTGTAGGCACAGACTTATGATCACCCTTTGCTCGCAACTCGATCGTCACCTCATCAGACTGGTTGTTCGGAATCTTGATGACATATCCAACACCTTCCCACTTGGGCCGCAGTTCACCGGTATACTTGAGGCGCATCTCATCTCCCACAGCCAACTTAACATCGCCAAGTTCAAGCTTGGGCAGAATGAAGCTAGCCAGATGCTTGTTGTTAAGACCAAGGTCCCAGCGTACGATCAATCCATCCTGCGACTGAGATTCCTTCAATTTGCGGTCATAGTCGGCCTCAATCTTGACCAGAGGCCCAAAGATGTTCTGATACTGGAAGGCATCATCATAACGCAGAAGCACGGGTGCTGGCTCATCGTCCACAGCCGTGGCCTTCTCCAAATCCGAGAAAGTCGCTTGGGAATTTTCCTTCCACATCTCTTCCAACTTAGCAATCAACTGCGGACTAAGGTGGCGAGCGCGGAGCTGCTCCTGGTCGGAAGGGGCAGCAACCAACCATGGCAAGAACGAACGGTCTTCAATCAATGGTTGCCAACGCGAAGTGTCCCAGTTCATATCTTTGGAAGATGGCATAGCGGCGCATGGTTGACGGCATAGCAACACGACGACCGTGTCAGACTTGGCTGGGATGAATCCAAGAAGGAAAACGTTCTTGGTTCCGCAATTGTAGCATTCCAATATCGTATCTCCAAGCGACGAAGCCGGATGCAACTGAACTTCCTTGTGGCGTGCTCGAACGAGGTGATTGACAATATGGGAGGACGAAGTGTTACCACGGGCGCTGCAAAACCACTTGCTGCAGGCCAGGCACTTGACTACGCTGCTCGGGTTATGGATTCCGCAATACCTGTAGAGGAGCTCCATGTCAGTGAAGATGTAACAGAGCAAACGCTACGATATACTCACGCGCAAGCATGTGGCGGAAGTTCCTTCTCCTCCTCAAAGTGACCCTGGTGATGCTTGTTGTCGGCTGCCTGAGCACTAGTTGTGCTCTCTACGTCGTCGTCTCCTGAAGCCTCATCGTCATCGTCATGTCTCCGCGGGCGGAACTGGGAAGCTGCGTCGTCCATCTCCGGCGGAAGCCTGTCATCGCCAAGTGCCGCCATAATGATGTAGGAGAAAGAAAAAAATCCGATGCTTAAACCCCAATATCGCTACCCAGGTCAAGGCAGAAAGAGCGAAATCAGCGGAAGCGAAAGCGAAAGACGCCCAGGACACCGAAGATTATGCGGTCATACACGAGTTTGAAATGTCACGCGAGGCGATTTGAAAGATGTAAAGAGTGTGGAGGACGAAACAGCCGTGACTGTCCGAGGACAGAGGCAGGGGATGTTGTGTTTTCTTTATCGGAGGTCACCAGTGTGCCACAGCAGAGGGGCAACTGTATATGAGATTAGAACTGAAATCCAGTCAGATTCACTTTTGTCCGTGGGAATTTATGAAGCCAACTGGTAATGAAGATGCCTTACATTCAAGTCACAGAGCCCTGCCGCCACTGAAGAGCTTGACGCAAGTGAATTGGGGCGTGTCCTGGAAGGCAGGGAATGATGGACAATCCACAGGACCGGATGGTGGATGATTTGCGATCGGCTCAGGCCAAGGCATTCGGAGTCGTTGCCGCCAAATCCCACACAACTCCGGTGGCCAAGGCGGACCAGACCGGCAGTTGCCGCAAGAAAAAAAGTTGCCCGCCTTTTGCGTTCCAGACCCCATTCTGATCTACTCAATCATTCTTCATATATATACACACACGATGTTGGTATGTCGCTGCTTGGGATTTTAGAAAATAGCCATTCCCCGTGGTTCCAGACCTCTTATCGCTAACTACTGATTCTTCAGCGTCGTCAAGCCCGTGAACGTCGCGATTATCTGTACCGGAGAGCTCTCACTCTCCGCGATGCCTCCATTGCTGAAAAGCGAGCCCAGCTGAAGGCATCGCTGGCCTCCGGAAAACCCCTCGACCCCTCCATCGCTGAAGACAAATCGCTGCGCGAAGATTTCAAGTACGATGAATCCATCACCCCGGATAACCAGAACAAGGATGGCGACGTCGATCTCGATGATGAATATGCCCTCACCTCCGGCATCGCCGACCCCCGTCCTATCGTGACAACCTCTCGCTCCCCTTCTGTCCGTCTGGGCACTTTCGCTAAGGAGATCCGTCTGCTTCTTCCAACCTCCATTCGCTTGAACCGTGGTAACCTCGTTCTTCCGGACTTGGTTTCAAGCGCAACTGCCGCTGCGCTGACCGACATGATTCTCGTGCACGAACACCGTGGTACGCCCACTGCGATGACAATCTCCCACCTTCCCCATGGACCGACCGCTAGCTTCTCCCTGCATAACGTTGTTCTCCGTGCAGATATCCCTAATGCCGCTCGCGGAACTGTGTCGGAGAGCTACCCTCACCTCATCTTCGAAGGTTTCAAGACCAAGCTGGGTCTTCGTGTGGTTCAGATTCTGAAGCATCTGTTCCCCCCGCGTGAGACCGGCAAGGTTGGAAACCGTGTCGTCAGCTTCGTGAACAAGGAAGACAACATTGAGGTCCGTCATCACGTGTTCGTCAAGACCGGATATCGGGATGTTGAGCTGGCGGAAGTTGGTCCTCGTATGACCATGCGACTGTTCGAGATCCGCGGTGGAACCTTGGAGAAAGGTTCTAGTGGTGATGTTGAATGGGCTCTTACCCAGTACACCAGGACGAGCAAGAAGAAGGATTATCTGTGAGCCAGTTTTAGTCTTGAGGACACCTGTGGCTTTCAGTTGGCTGTGTATAATCATTTACGAAGGCAAAAAGAAAAGTCTGATTCGGCGCATGAGGTGTTCAGGAAGGAGCTCAAAGGGGCGGCTTTTACATTTGGCATATCTGATCGCTATTGTATACCCATCTGAAAGAAATTTTTTCATTACTTCTCTCCTTTCTACCTAGAAATCATGTAGCCATCAAAGTATGATCGCAGTGGTAACAGAGGTAACAGATTGAAAATCTAGTATACGGCCGAACCAATTGAAGGCCCTGCCTCAGCATCAATTAGGGCTAGCCGACCGGATATATTTGTCTCGGGGACAGCTCAGAATCTTAATGTCCGGACCAGTCAAATCGTATAGATTATCGGCTCGTCACTGCCCGGCCACTCACCATTCCCATCCTGTGCCGACTCGTGCTCAATGCCCTGCAATGATGCATCTAGATAATCTTGCTTAACAGTCACCATGCCATCGCCGTCGGGTGCATCAACTCCCCGAAGGAAATTTGACAACAGCCCAGCCCGATCCTCGTAGTAGAACCAATTCTGGTGAGGAGGCAGTAACTTGCCATCAGTATCTCTCTTACCTTCTGGTAAGATATCATCCAGTCGCTCTTCCCACTCCTTACCTGTTTTGTCCTTGAAAGTCTCCTTGAACGCCGTCACCGCGGAGTCACGATCTGCTTTCAGCGGTGTCAGGAGTTGGCTCTGCTGCTTGCCAATACGGCTGTACTCGAGATGTGTAGCGTAGACATGAGGTTCTCTATTAGACTCGTATACCTACATACAATTTCTCAATTAGCCCTTCTCCTGATACGTATACCTCATCTGCCTGGAGAGAAATAAACGACCGCGACTCCACAGCATTATGACTAACTCACCCTGACCACATATCTCTCCTTGCAGCTTTTGCCCTGCATCAACCGGACAAGCGTAGCATTGTACGTCACCCTCGCTTCTTCATCCGTATAGATGTGATACCTCGCTACATCACCAGCCCGAATCAGCCTGCGTAATACGCAGGAACAAGATAGATGATAGCATACAAACCGCAGTCCCGGCCTTTACGCCCTTTCTCTTCCTACCAAAAGGATCCCGATTCTTCAGATTACCTAGTAACGTCGTGTTAGTCACCAAAAACTTATATCATCTAGTCAAGTCCGTTCGACTTCACTTTGTCTGTTGGACTCCACTCCAACGGTCAACAACTTGCCCCAAGAGCAAAAGAGCAAACGTACCTTTTTTCCTAGGCTCTTCTTTCTCCCTCTCCCTTATTTTCACTTTCTCGTTTCCCCTCTTCTTCTTCTCGCGTTTGAGTATATTCGCAAGAAGATACTCTGTCTCACGCTTCGGTCTTCGATTCTTAGATAAGAGAGAGTCTTCCAGCCAGTCAAAGGAGACTATTTTTATAGTTCGTAGTCGTTTAGCTTCTCGAACTATCATTCGGTTTCCCTGTCAGACATATATGCGTAACTTGAACCCCATAGTTTCGAAGTACCTACCTGCTTCAACATTATCCTTGAACGCTTCTTTGGTGGTGATCAAATGAGTGAGGTTTTTGCTGATGTCCTTGGAATATTGGCCTCCGTTGGCCCGTATCCACTGGGGTATTTTGTCCGAAAGTCCATCGAATTTGCCGAATGAGCTGGCATGTATGTTTTTAAAGGTCTTGCCCATTCTGAAGGGAACTTGGAGAGGTAGTATTCCGGTGGAGTCCGATGGAACCGTTGAAGTAGAGTCTCTTCAGCTGACCGTATGAAGGGTGCGTTGAGTGGATATAAGGAATCTTAAAGGTATATAGTAAGTGGAAAGCTCGGGGAAGAATATAACAAGTACTACTACTATTACGATACTACTCGATCAATGGCAGAATGGACGAACACTGAGAAAAGGAATAGGTGACTATCTCGTCAATGAATAGTGAGGCTACTGTAAGCTGGCAAGAGTGTAGGATATCTGAAGTGGCCGTGTCATTGTTTGGCATCATGGCTATGGTAGATCCGAAAGGTATCAACAAAGTAAAAGGTAATGAGACTCAAAGAAAATCAAATGAAAAGACCAATGTGCCTAGTAATCCCATGCTAAGGGATATATAGAGACGATTGAAAGCTAAAGTCCCCTCACGGCCTGCACAAACGCGCGGATTTTGCCAAGATCCTGAGCGCCGTCTGACTCTACGCCAGAACTGACATCTACGCCAACGACTTTGCGACCAGATTCGCCAAGCTTCTGGACAATGCCAGCAACATTGGTAGGATCTAAACCACCCGCCAAAATAACGCGCAAACCACTGTCCTTATCGAGGATATTCTGAACGCGGGACTGGTCCAGCAACTCACCAGTTCCCCCAACGCCAGAATCCAGTAACGGTAGGGCGTGGTAAGCCCTGCGGGCGATCGCAGGCTCGTCAAGTCCAAACTTGCGGATGACAGGCACTGGGATCAATTTGGCCCATTCAAGCGGCTCAGATCCGTGAAGTTGCACAACGTCAAGTCCCAACTTTTGTTGCTGACTCAATATATAATCAAGGGGCTGGTTCTGGAAGACGCCCACGAGAAGCGCCCGGCTAGGGTGACGCAGAATTTTGGCTGAGTGATCAAAGTACTCCACAGATGTCGCAGCGGAAGGTTCTTGAGATGTGTGAAGAGTTTGACTAGCAGGTTTTGGGGTGGACTTGATCACTTGGGATATGCGGAGCGCCACGTCATCAGGGACGCATCGCGTTCGCCCTTGCACCATAATAATTCCAATTAGGTCTGCTCCAGCCTCGATCGCTGCTCGTGCAGCTTCTTCAGATCGAGTACCGCAGATCTTTACCAACGGCGATCTCCGGGACTCGCTGGAAACGGTTTGTGAGCTGCCTCCAAGAAGCTCAGCAATGAAAGCAGCCGTGTCTGCTGCCCGCATCAGGGCTTCTCCTACTAGGATAGCTTTGACACCCTCCTTCTTGTAAGCCTCCACATCCTTAGGCCCGGAGATCCCACTGAGAGCACACACGATGGTGCTGCTGGGCACCTGATCCATGAGCCGGCTAGTAGTGCCGAGATCAACCTCGAAGCTTGTGAGGTCCCTATTGTTGACACCGATAACCTCGGCTCCAAGATCGACCGCAATCTTCATCTCTTCGGGTGTGTTCACTTCAACCAAAGGCTCCATGCCAAGGCTACGGGAGTAGTGATACAACCGAGTGAGGAGTTCAACACTAAGCATCTTCACAATGAGCAAGACCGTGTCGGCACCGGCCAAACGGGCCTCTAGGATCTGGTATTCGTCAAAAACGAATTCCTTCCGCAAAATGGCAGGCCTGTTCGTCATGCCCTCCAGACTTTGGCGAACGGCACGCAAATCGTCAATGCTGCCTTTGAACCATTCAGGCTCTGTGAGCACAGAGATGACACTGGCACCGGCCTTCGCGTACCGCCTGGCCTGAGCAGGCGCGCATGCATTTTCGGCTATCATACCCTTAGAGGGAGAAGCACGCTTGATCTCTGCCATAAGGGACAGTGGGTAGGGCGATTGTCTAAGACGAGCCGGAAATGGGACCTGGGGAGGGGCGAGATTAAGGTCGTAGGCAGCCTGGAGGTCGGCTGGCCGCTGCGAGGGGATAGTCTTCTGCACGGCGACAGCGGCTCTCCGATGGTCGTAGATCCTTTCGAGGATGGACAACTTCTTGTCCGTTTTCGGGGCAGGGTTTGAGGGAACGGTGGCCTTGGTAGTGCTGCTCTGCTCACCAAAATGTTTCCCGTTTCCTTCCCAGGTGCCTGCAGTAAGTTTGAGGAAATTGCGGAACATGATGCGGCCGTACTCAGTGAGGATACTTTCGGGGTGGAACTGAACCCCCTCCACGGCCAATTTCTTGTGTCTCACGCCCATGATGACATCCTTGTTACTGTCATCCGCCAACTGAACGGAAGATGACACCTCCAGACAGTCGGGAATTGTCGCATGTGTACCAGCTAGAGAGTGATAGCGAGTGACGGCGAGCGAGCCAGGTAGTCCTTCATAGGCGCCCTTGCCGTCATGTTTAAGCGGGGATGTCTTGCCATGAAGAATCTCGCCGGTGACATCAACTTTTCCACCAAAGCAAGTAATAATACATTGCTGACCCATGCATACACCGAAGATGGGAATCTTGCCGCTGAAGTATTGAATGGCTGCACTGCTGATACCAGCGTCAGTCTCGGGGTGACCGGGACCGGGACTGATGACCAGCTGTGTGGGCTTTTTGGCGATCAGTTCCTCCAAAGTGATCTGGTCATTACGAAACACATTGACTGTAGCACCCTCGAGAACTAAGTACTGGTAGACATTCCAAGTAAACGAGTCGTAGTTATCGATCAAGATAACATTCGATGCGGTGCTCAGTTGGGCGGCCTTGGTGGGATGGTGGGGGGAATGATCGACGAGTCCGGAGTCCGCCATGACGAAAATCTGCGCAGGACAGGATCTTCAATTAGATGAAATCGAAGAGCAATGCGATAAGGAAAAAGCAGCCAGGGGCGATGCGCATAGAGACACACTCACCTTTTTGAAGTTGAACTGTCAACTGCCGGAGTAAAGTGAGGGCGGAGCAAACATCGACGGTGGCTGCGGCCTGACTCAGATCCTCGGTGGATCGTGTCGCCTTCCAGATTGGGGTTGGTAAGCAAACGGCGCAAAACTTCAGCTCACCGCCTTGGGCTAAACCCAGATAGGCAGTCATTGTTGACCTCCAGCCAAACCCGCTCCTGGAATAATATTCTTGGGTTTCCCGCCTTTGAGCTTGTGAGCTCTCTGCTTAACACTCTCAACTTGCCTGCCCTTTTGCTCCGGGTCTCTGTCGCTTTGGACCCTCGCGAGCAGCACATCCTTTCCGCATCCCATCGAGCATCTAGAATGATATAATTGTCTCGCCAATGGCTCCCGTCCCGGAAGCCTATTTCCCGTCCCTGGACAAGTGCTTCTCCGGGGACGTCCAGCTTCTGTATGGGCTTTACATGCGTCTCTTCCCAATTGACGAGCATTCACTGATTGTCTATGCGATCTTAGGTCCTGGAAGAGAGCCTTCCTTCACATATGCAAAATCGATAGCAACGTCGAAGATGTGGAAAGACTCCATGCCTTCCTATCGCATCCCGACAGCGTCCAAATCCTCTCGAATTGCCTCACCGGTTTTCCTTCTCCTTCCACCAAATCAAAATCCGACTTTGAATCTAAGACAGCCGCAATCAATGTTGAGACAAATGCGCAATCCTCGTATGATTTGAAGGAGATCAAAGCAGATGCTCTGTGGTTGAGCGAGAAGGCGGGTATTGATGAAATCAGCGCGCTCCGATTAACAGTATTAGAATGGCAAACCCGACCTGCCACGCGCCTTCTCAACCGTTTTGCCGACGAGGAAACAACCAGCTTGCAAAGCGCGGCGGGAGGTGACAATCTTCGTGTGTCTCTCGCAGGACCTGCCCTGGCCGAAATTTTCAATCAGAAAGCAGCCCATGTTGACGAGGCTTCCGATTTTTCTTCTGAAACTAGCCGCCGCCTGCGGCTGCGCAGCTTATATCTATCGGAGAGAAGCCATGTCGTCAAAGTGGCATGCAAGCTGCTTGCGTTGCATCTCAGAGATAACCAAGAGCCGGCTTCCCAGCGTTCTTCGGACCTTCCCTCTCAGCAGCTGTCCAAGCTAGGTGGCACAGTATTCAATGGAAAGTCCAAGGGCGAAGGCTGGCGCACGTTCAACAAGAGCTGCGTCGAAGCTGTGCGGAGTCGGCTGTCTTCGTTGGACAGCGGTGGTGGCTGGCTAGGCGCCACCGAGAGTAGCCAAGAAATCGAAGAATTATGGGCCACTATCCTTGTTGAGGAGGTAGTACATATTACACAGATGTTGTTCCTGCAACTTCAGGCGTCTACAGAAATTCCTGGTGCGGAGCTTCTGCTTTCTTGGCTTCGTCTGATGGTTGACTACAACTTCCTAGAGCCGCTCCGAGTCGTGAGTACTGCCGTATTATGTTTACCGCATGATCTTGTTGCTAACTACAAGAAGCCATGTCAGAATCCTCTGGAGCTGTTGGTCCCACTTCAAGGCTTCGTCTCTTTGACAACACTAGCTTTTCTGAAGCTGTCATTGTCGGTCCCATCGATCATCAACAATTCCTCACATAAAGGCCCGTCGGCTGAGGCACCTTACTACCTCTCAAAGGAAGAGATTGGCCAGATAAACGAGCTCTTCTTGACAGCTGGTGTAGAATCTAAAATTGCTAATCCAGCTGCGTTTTCCTGGGGACTGATAATGCATACTATGAGGGAGCTTGCACTCAGCGACAGAGAAAGCCGAGAGTTGGAGCAATTTCACAGTGCAGTGGATTCTTTCCAATCGAATACACCTCATTCGAATCCAACCAAAGCCTCGGAGATCACTTTGTATGAAGAGTTGCTCGAGAACGCACGTACTCCGACCTGCACAGCGGATGAGGCGATAACTCTTCTAAGCTCAGATGCAATGAAGGATATGGTGTTTGAAACCGTCCTTGTTCTGGCCACGAAAGTTGGAGCTACCTCAGCAGTCACTGACATTTTGACAAGCCAATGGATTCAGCTCGTGCTTCTAGATTTCATCCGGACCGCTGTGGTGTACCTAGACTATTCCCCCGAGATCGTTGGGTCCACACTGGCAGTTCTCCAGGGCTCACCGGTAGAATCGC